ACTTCATCGATGAAGTATACAGCGACGAAGTATCGATGCATTTATCTATCTTTATCTATTTATCTATCTATCTATCTATCTATCTATCTATATATATATATATATATATATATATATATATATGCATCTATTTGTATATGTATCTATATATCTATGCATCTATCTATAAGTATATATCTATGTATCCATCTACATCTATATATCTCTGTATCTATCTATTCATATCTATATCTGCATATCTAAATATTTATATACATTATATACGATATATATGCGTATCTATTTAAACACAAATATGCCAACATCCCCGGCGGACAATCGAGTCCCGATTAAATCGATAGTAAATGTACATATACAAATGCATCTGTGCATTTCTATTTATTTATTTGTATATGTGTATGTGTTTAAAAATCACTAAAATACCTTAATAACAATTACTACACACACACAGATATATGTGTATATATGTATATATGTATAGACATATACATACATATACATATATATATATATATATATATATATATATATATATATATATATATATATATATATATATATATATATATATATATATATATATATATATATATGAATGATAGCTTACATACACATGTATATACATATGCATATATTTCTCATATCTATATATTCATATTATTTATACTAGTATATACATACTTACATGCACACATATAAACAGATTACATTTAAATGGTGTTTAAAAAGAGAGAAATGGTCTTCTCGCGACCTACATTTCCCCTCTGTTGGGTATATAAAGGCGCCTGACCTGCGAACCAGCATCACTTCTTGCAGTCTCCACTAGAAGTACATCAATAGTATCAACATGAAGGCAGTAAGTCTGTGTCTTAACACTCTAGCTCCATTATCAAACGTCATAAAGTTTTAGTAAATAATAAGTTCTATACAATAGCATAAAATTGTCAAGGTCGAGAATATTTACTAATATATGAACGTTCCAGCTGATTCTGTCCTTGATGGTGGTTGTGGCTGCGGCTGAGAGACCGTCCCTCTCCTACGACGCCCCTGCACCACACGTATCCTCGCCCGTCCAGCAGATCCCCATCATCCGCGACGAGCGAGTCCATCCTGCCGCTGACGGCACCTACAGCTTTGACGTGGAGACTGGGGATGGCATCGTCAGGCACGAGTCTGGCGGTCCAGGTGGCGTTCAACAGGGAACCGTGAGGTTAGTTCTTTCACTCAAAATTTTACATTGAATTAGCAATGTGTACATATGTATTATACATATATAGATGTATATATATATATATATATATATATATATATAATATTATATATATATATATATATATATATATATATATATATATATATATATATATTTATATATCATACATCAAACTATGGTTTCCTTTCAGCTTCATCTTCCCAGATGGCCAAGTATTCGATCTCCAGTTCGTCGCCGATCTTAACGGTTACCAACCTCAGTCGTCCTTCCTGCCCGTCGCCCTGCATTCCCCCCCAATCCCGCCCACGCCCTCGAGCAGATCGAACGTGGTCGACTTGAACTTGAAGCTCGCGCCCGTGAAGAGCAGCGTCAGTCATCAAGCCAAGGACAAGCTGCACCCGCTCGCCACTACGGCCAACCTCAGTAGTGTTTTCCAGCTGAATTTCAACATGTTTTTGTTACGCTGTTATTCTACTCCAGTCCATTTACACACACACACACACACACACACACACACACACACACACACACACACACACACATAATATATATATATATATATATATATATATATATATATATATATATATATATATAATCACCCCATTGTGTGAACACTTTGTAACGTTTTTCTATGCACTGAGTGTTATATAAGTTATAAATAAATGTCAAACTTCCTTCGATATTTCTAGAGAATTCGGTATCCTAATACACCTTTAAAAACATTGAAAAGTAAATAGATAAAAAGATAAAGAATAAAAGTAAGATAAATGAAAAAAATATCTCTTTTCACATTTGGCATTGCGTATCAACGTATACAGTATATGTAACAAACATATTTCGATTTTCGGACAAGATATTGCCAGCTGCTATCACCGAACCAAAATGATGAGCCAAATTTAACCACGTTTAAAATCTTATTAAGTATATTAGAAACAAGCATTATATCGTAACCATCAAATTGTTATATATACAAGATAATGAACATAGAGCATTTTTCAATTACTTATAATGAAAACAAAACAACAAACAAAAGAGGCACCTGAAGATATTCCTTTTTTCCCTTATACACCTGTTCATTAGATTATGAATAGTTACTTGACTTAATCTGAATTCAATCAGTGTCCTTTTTTGGTCACATCAATATTATAAGAATATCAAGTCTTCGTTAACGGATTATTTTCATCCATGAGTATTCGATTTGTTGAAAAGAGTATGTTACGTACCTATGTGATTTGATAACAGTGGTAAAAGAAGTGATAAAAAGATACAAACTTAGCTCCTTTT